GCATTAACTGATATATTGTGTATGCTGAATAGACAATCAGAGCTTCTGCCCCTAATAAAGCAGATATTTTTACGTGGCATTGATTTAACTGCATTCATAATCAAATTTCATGGATACTGGGAAGCAAAATTATCTGCTTTAAAAACTGCGAATTACGCTACCTCATGAAACCATTGAATATTAACAGTGGGATTCAAAGTTAATATGAAGAGTAGAATGTGAGCATTACAGAAATTCACATAAATTTACCATGGGTAAGTCTGATATGCTGAATCGGTATGCTAGCTGGTGAATAAAATGTGGAATAATCGAATAACCACCCTGCCTTTATAAATTCTTGAAGGAATACGGTGAGGACGATTACGAATAGCAAACTGGATTAGAAAGCACTTCATGCAATGCCAACCCTCTTAGTCACCGATGAATGCTTTAGAACTACCAACACTGAAATTAGAAACTCCTAGCTGATCCAGAACAGCAAAATTCTAGTCACTTTTAATATTTTGCGTACAAAAGTTCCCTAAAACAGAGTAAAAGGAGAGTCAGAGAATTTGTCAAAATTGTCTGCTAATTCAAGCTAAAAATTTGCATTCAGAAACCGAATAACTTACAAATTTATTTAAAACTATGTGCGCGTGTGTGTGAAGCTGTTAGTCTACTGTAAGTTGTGTGTACCTTATCCGTTCGTCCTCTGCGTATCAAAAACAAAGTCTAATTTATGAAGAGGTTACCTTCAAAGTGTCGGCATGTCGTGAAGCAGTCATTAGCACAAAGCGCTTTATGGGATTAGCACGAGTGATTGTGTGGTGCACACAAAAATGCAGTGCCACTCACCTTTAGCCCACGCCGTAAGGTCATGCACTGCTAGAACTTTTTCAATTCACATAGCAACCACTTAAATGACAGAATGAGCTAAAACGCATCACTCTTCTCCCACTCAAGAAGCTACGGTAGTCAACTCTTAGCTCTACCACCACTCCTAATAGTGTAGCGGTGTTAGTAGATCTGAAATGCCATGTTCATCATCCAGTAGGCAGTAATTAATTGACAAGCGATAGAGTGAATCTTTTATTTAAGCACACACCAAAATATTCTTCGAAACAAAACCAATCACCAATTCGTAGAGAGAATTCAAATATTAATAATGATCTATTTTCACTGTCAAACCGTTATAATGTTTGGCTAGTTTGTTCAGCTGGTTTTGATTACTTAGTTACTTACGTCTCGGAAGATTGTGCTTCTACTCGGTGACTCGGTCTCCGGACCAAACCAGTAGCCGCTCAGTCCTTCTGTACGTTATTAGCAGATTTTCTTCCATGCTGCTGTTGCTTCTCACGACTTCAGGGAAACTTGGGCACTATGGACGTATGCTGGCACACAATGACTCAGGATTTCTGGTGGCCCCGTCTTTAAGGATATTTTTTGAGATGGTTTACCCACTTTAACTTTAAAAACTTTGCATTTTGGTGGTTATCAAAACATGCTGTCATCGTCGCTGCTAAACATGCTTTATAATGCCGAATATTTACACAAATGTGGCTTTTCGGATGAAGGCATTAGCATGGTTGAGTAGGAATGGTATTGTTGAGTACTTGTCTGCCTATGTTTACAATAAGAATACTGCCACTGCAGGTACAACGACACAGATGACATTTGTTTAGGCGCTAGTCAACAGATTTTGACAATCCTAAGGCTTTTTAATCACATAACTTGCATCAGTGGAATAAAATGTTGGTTTTCTTAGCATTGTATCCTATATGGAGCTATGGCGAAGGAGGTAAAGCCAAAGCAGCAGGGGATTTCGAGTCCTCAGAAATGGGCCAATTAAGCTAGACCTTGCAAGAGTTAAAACAGGTCTTTAGCAAAGTGGTGAAAAGCCAAAAATGGAAATGGCTACACCTTTCTCATAACTAGTGCACCCTTTTTAATAAATTTTGTCAATCTGTACAAGTAAGCAAGGCCGCTCATCTCCTTAAAAGTCCTCACATGTTACATCGGCACTGGAATGCCATCAATAAAAATATATGTGTGCCGAAAAGATCTGTTTTTACGAACTGCTCATAACACTGACAAGGTCGGAAATTCTGACTTGTTTTTTCTTTATATCGCATTTTATAGCTGGAATATACGGAATTTTGGGGGGCATTAATAGTAGCGTTTTTCAGGTGATGAGTTAAGTAATCAAGAATTTGAGAAGATGGCAGGAAAGTGCTTCAAACGCAGCGCATATAATGGGAAAGTTTGCTCTAAGTTAGCAGTAGCCTAGGCTACGTTGTAGTGGGCGACAGGTGAGTATGAATTTGGAAAATGCCAAAGACGTTTCTCAAATGGTCTATGTAATACTTTGAAGGACACCGAAATTCTCGATCATCAAAATTTCTGTCAGCGACATTAAGTTGTAGCACTGTTGGTAGCCCCTCAGCTTATCTGTACGCAGGTAGTACTCTAGTGTCATCTTTCGTCCTCAGGCTAGTCGTGACGCGCTGTTCGTTTACCTTAGTATTCGCTGGTTTTTCAGCTGAGCCTTCACGCAATTGTGTCACTTGGTAATAAAAGTTTGCGTTTTGGTTGGTGTCGCAGAGTGATTTGTCATATTGGGAAGCCACATTTTATTCTAAAGATACTTATCAAAGAGGGCGTAGTATTATTTCTAACACTTAAAAGGAAATAAAAGGGACGTC